ATTTGGAAAAGAATACTATATAAGAAACTTAATATAATACTCTATAATACACTACCTAAAAACATTATTTCTATTAAAATTGAAAAACATACATATCATTTTTTTCCTTGGAGAATGTATCTAACTGTGACAAGTTAATAAAACCATTAATTTTCTTAAATTTTACATCAGTATATGAAATCCATCTAGTTTGGTTGTGTTAATTGTGCTCTTAAATTGGATCAACATAGTTTGACACAACCTTTATAAAAAAAAAAAACATAGTTTGACACAAAAAATGGATCCACTCCAGTGAATTGATTGCCATTTGCTCGACTTAATTATACAATCAATATTAGGCCCAAAATTTCCAAACTATAATAATTTTATTGTGTTAACAAATGCGTGTGTATATTATCTTAATCTAGCATAGGAATTTTGGGATATTTTTATAGATTTTTATATGTTGCATTAACTAAACAAACAAAAAAACACTTCTTTTCTTACAAAAGGAAAGCTATCTGATATTTAAGAGATATTTAACGATCGCGTATGCTAACGAGAGGCTTATTAAATATCTCAAATGGGGAGAAATTCTGTCTTGTTGGGCTTCTCAAAGCCCAAAGTTATTAGCAAATTCGAAAAAAAAAAACAAATTCAACAACCTAGAAGTACTTTTTTAATGATTAACGGAGTCAATATTATCAACATTTTGTATGTATATATGTTTGGTGATGAACACAATTGAAAGTGACAGGAGAACACATGCATGATCAAAAGTTTTGTACGATGTTTTTGAAAATGAGAGAATGATAATGTTCTGTCTCTTTAATAATACTCCTTTGTCCTCCGAATCTCAATACAAATTGGTTTAAAATACTATATTTTTTATGTAATTTTTATCAAAAAGTTTAATTTTCTTAAGGGCATGATTAATATCAAATGGATTTCAATTAAAAAGGTCCTTAACCTCTTGTGGTGCAAAATATCAAATTAATCATTTGGTTGATTTTTTAATTGGGCCTCTCCCCTCCAATGATAATAGATTTTAGATGATATTTTCTTTTTCAAACTATTTTTTATCAACCAATAAGAATTTGGAAATTTAGGTTTTTTTATATATAAAATAGATTTCTTTTTCGTTTGTTTTCAGTAATTAAGGAATTGGTGCTTTGGTTTCTATCAAAACTAAAAATTCAAAAACTAAAACCAAAAAGTACTCTACGCATATCTCTAACCATCAGAGGTTAGTAATTTGAATATAAAATTGATGTACTAAATATTACACCATCAAGCCAAGTAGCCAACGTACTCAAACTGATAGTCATTAGAGGCTGATTTTTCTATACTCGTTGTGATTGGTTGATACACTCGCTATATCAAAATATAACTAATTACGTTCATCCAAAAAATTAGAGTTAGAAGACGTTAAGTATGCTCGACGTCAAAAGAACTTTTTTAATAAAAATGTATTAGTGCTTTTTTATATTACGTTTCAGTTTTATTCAATAAAATATATTATAATTAAAACCGCGGTATGATATATTATTATATAAGAAAATAATGCATTCGATTAAAATGTGTTTTATATATATTAAGCCACAGATATGGTGAACGACTGAATCGGCCAATCATGCAACCACTAATTAGAATTTAGAAGAAGTCATTGACTCGTTATGCTTAGCCTTAGAGATATTATATCAAGGTCCCCACTACCATTAGGACATAAAACAAGATTATCACTAAGCACTTTGAATCCACAAGATAATCTAACGCTATAATATTGTAATCTATAGTTAACTAAGTTATCTACTAATATTTGAATCTGATTAGATATTTTTTTGTTGTCAACATCTGATTAGATATTTATTTCTTCAAAATGTACTTTAATTTCCAAAAGATATATATAAGAATAATATATATGATCTATCAAAAAATGAAGTCCATGTTAGTAGAATATTTTTGCTAGATTGCAATCTACGGAAAGAAAAATACATGTTTGTAGCTTAATAGATTAATTAGTTCAAAAAAAATTGTATTGGTATGGATCGAAAATTATGAGTAAACAGCACGAAGACGATCACATACTGCCGCATCGAACGATTGTGAATCTACAAGTTTTCACTACTTTTGTAATAATTTTGAATACTTGAAAGGAGATTTTCGTTGAATTAGGGCATACCACGTACATGCAATATGACCGAGACTTATCATGAGTCATGAGCATATAAATAAAGGAGGAAATTGTAATAACTTTTTTTTTTGTTAAAAAGAAATTGTAATTACGTACTTGCTGTACCGTTTATCAAAAATAATATCGATGCGATAGTTGGTAAAAATGTCGATAGAACCCATTATTTGTAATTGCATGAAGYATGCAATGAAAGTGATTAGACCTAACACTAAACACTAAATTAATTACCCAGTAATAGTTATTAATAGACTCAACAGGAAAATAATAATTTAGTCTAATTAGTAATTATACGTGATGTATACAAATGTGCACATCAGTAAAAGTGAGAACATGGGGCCAACAAATCTATATTAGATTTAATTTTATAAGACTAATTAATAATGGTTCCATAGCTTGGTTTC